CCATTATAATCCAGGTGAAGGGCGGATGAGTAAATTTTGTGCTGGGGCTAGCGGCCCTTTGCAAGACTGTTCTTGGCTATTTTAGATGATCTCACCTTCTAACTATCACAATTTACCCAGCTCTAAGGGAGTGAGAAAGAAGTGGATTTACACACACACACACACACACACACACACACACACACACACACACTTCAGAGAGGACAAACACAACAGCCACTGTTAAAAGCAACTTATCAGCTTTTTTTCGTTTCCTGGTAAACCATGATAGTTCTGTGCATTCATTCTAATTTTAGTCTCAAGTGCCCTCCCCATCCTCCTGTCTAGGCCCTCCCCGGGGCTCCGGCTTCGTCTTGTGATAGGTCTTTATATTTTTGTAATCAGTGTCACACCCTGTCTGTGCAACAGCGGTGAGAGAGAAAAATCCAATTCTGAGACCAGCCCACGAGAGACGGAGCAAGCTAGCTAAAGCTAGTGCACAGACAGCGCGGAGCACACAGTCTACGGAGCTGCAGAATGGAAGTGAAAAAAGCATAACTAGCAGAGGCAGAAAAATTGATATCCTGGGATGTTATTGGGAGCAGGCAGCAGCCTGTATCATCAGGCTCTGAAGTCTGTGGGGGTCAATCAACTTCGATGCACTTAACTGGAGGCAAAAAAGCTGATAAAATGCAGGCCCCTGCTCCAGATGGTTTAGGTAGTAACTAGGCCCTGATTCAGCAAAGAGTTAGGCACGTGCTTAACTTGAAGCACATGGGTGAGTGCTTTGCTGAATCAGGGCCTAGGTCAGCACATTAACAAGAGGTGGGTGCCTCCTGGCGAGCAGCCCGGGCTCCCTAGAGAATCGCATGCTTGCACCTAGAGAAAGAGAAGTTAGGAACGCAGCCCACAGAGGTCACACCCTTGTGATTCAAAGGAAAGGTTCAGGAAGTCACTAGTGGAGTCCGTCCCTCCTGCTACAAGAGCAACACACCCAGCGGGGGAGACTGTCCCAGCTGCTCCCCTCTAGCGGCCCAGGGCAGAATGGCAAGCCCAGAACTTAAGAAATACCAACACTGGACAAAATAATGAATGGGGGAGGGTGCAGGCAGAAGGGAAGGGATTGCAACACACACACACACACACACAGTGACTCACCCTTCCTAACCGCCCCCTTCAACAACAACAAACAAAAGCTGCAGAATTAATACTGTAGCTCAGCAACCGGAAGCAAAGTTGCTAGTTTTAGTCTTGGGCATAATCTCCAAAATCGCTACCCGGCGTGAGAATCCATTATCGACCTCCCGGAAAAATCCCTCTTTATAAACAGCCTTATAAGAACAATTCCTAGAGTCTGCCTCCAAGCGGTTTGGAAAGCAGGTTTTCAAAAGGACAGGGGTTTTGCTGGGTTTTTAGAAAGGATGGGATCTGTAGGTGTCTTCCTCTTAAAGAGAAGCACTGCACCAAAACCTTGTCCACACACAGAAGTTGCACCAATTTAAAAATGGATTCAGTTGCTCTAGTACAAACCTGCATGTGTGGACCCTCTTAACTCGTTTTATACTTGCTTTATTGCAGCTTGAAGCTCCACTGGTAAAAGCTAGGTTTAAACTGAACTAAGAGTGTCCACAAAGGGATCCGCATTGGCTTAAGGAAATCAGATCAAACATTTGTGTTCAACTTTGTGAGTAGACCAGGCCTAAGTTAACGTCTAAACATTGTACTTGTTCTTCATGTATGTTCTACTTATCCAGAAAGGCAGAGTCCTCCTGCAGGTCATTGAGGCTTAGGTATAGCTA